TGCTCTGTTTTTATGAAGCAACTGGAGTGTATTTTAATTCCACTATATATCACCTTCTTTTCAATCTAATACCTAAATAAACTAACTAGTATGAACAATTCTTTTCAATCTGCACCTGATTAAGATGGTCAACAAGTCATAACTTGCTCCTATTGCTTAGACATAAATATGTGGAAGGAAACGCATTTTAATTCATTATATCCTGTTGGTTACAATAATGGTTGCTTCATTTGATTCACTTCAACAGGATAAAACCATGAACCAACCAGAGACCTCCGCTGAGAAACAAATTAAGTTTGACCAAGGAAACCAGCAGCAATTTGCTGAAGATGATCTGATGAGATTGTTCCGAATAATGGAGGAAGGTGCTGAAATGGAAGCTCACATACCTGATGTATCCAAAATTGCAGCTCTTCAGATGATAACGAGTTGAAGAAGGCTCTCACTGACTTGGAAGCCTCATTGAAGATGAGTCTGAGTGAAATAACTTGCTCTGAAGAGAGCAAACTTCGCCTTGAGAATGCTCTCAACATCTTATCCTCCCATTGTTCTGAAGAAGGAGCTCCCTCTCATGGCCTTCAAGCTACAATTCACTCTCTGCAACAAGAAATCCAAACTGTTCTATCTTCCTCCAAGCAAGCCTATGCCTCTATTGACACATTCAACGAGCTTGAACGAAAAGAGAAGCTTATCACTGAAGAAGGTTCAAAGAGAAAGGAAGCAGCCACAGCTCTTCTGTCTAAAATTCACAATAAAGAGAGTTCTTTGGCCGAGGCTCAGCAAAAAGAAGCAGAGTTGAAGGAGAAAATCTCTAAGATTCAGGCTGAAGTGTATAGGAAGGAAAAAGAAATTCAAGAGTGTGAGATTGAACTGTTATCTCTCAAAGAACAGAAGAAGAAGAGTGTTTTTGAGACAATGGGGCTGATAAACCAGTTCGACGCAGTGAAGAGAGAAAGGTATCACATGGAGGAAGAAAACATAAAAGCAAAGCAGCAACTACAAAATATGGATGTTAAGTGGTCTTCCTGTCTATCCAATCTGAGAAAAGTCACACTGCTGCTAGGAGTTCATCTTCAACATAAGCTTTCACAGTTGGAGACTGATATTTTAATTTCCTAAACAATTCTACTGTGTGGTCGTGTTTATTAGTTGGTTTGTTAGCTATGTGTGTTGTGGGTTGTGTTTTGAGTTCTTATGATTAAAAAAAAACAAAAAAATGAAGAGGAAATTATTAAAAAAAAACAGAGTAGGCGTGTGGGTAATGATTGTTGAAGACTCGTTATTGCACATATGGCTTTGATTGTAGTGAAATTTTTCTGGACTGGGTCCCGTGGTTTTTATCTCTCACATTGAGGGGGTTTTCCACGTTAAAAAATTGTGTTTTGTAGTTTTTTTTTTTACTTGATGCATTTTTTTAACGTTTAGATCATTTTATAGACATTATTTTAACTTAGTTTTTTAAAATAAAAATTGTGTCTACTATATTATATTACCTCCCATCTTTAATAATTAATATAAGACTAAGTTAACTAATTTAAAAAAAATTAAAGAAGTTAATGATATATACTCTAATGATTTTTTTTATATTTAGAGAGATCATATAATAGATGTTATAATTAAGTCATGTAGTAATTTTTTTAATTTCTTTAATTTAGTAAACTAGGTCTTCTATTAGTAACCGAAGGTAGTATTATATTTGTGCACATTTTTTCCCCGAATACATTTTTAAGATACCTACACAATGGCTAATGTGATACTTCATTGGTCACTCAGACAAAAATGTTTCAATATATTGACTTACAAAAAAGTTTAATTACAAGCTTCAATAGCCTCAAGAAGCGAAATTGCTAAGCAAAAGTTATGGATTCTAGATTAAATTTTTCATCCACGAAGTTCAGATTTATTTCTCTAACGATTATTTCTCTCATAGTCGATGAGTTCATAGAGGGATTCAAATGACAAAGCGAGTTATAGATTTTAGATTAAATTTTTGGAATTTTACGAAATGATTTTTTTCAGTATTAATCTTTAATTTTTTTCCTTTCATTCAAAAAATACTCTCATATCATATTTTTATTTATTTTATTTATTTGTACTACTAAAGATATTAAATGTAAGTATTGGAAAGGTAAATATTGGACTGTTTATTATTAAAGAAAACCACACTGCCGCTTCAAAAGTTTCTGCGTGATGAATTCTTATGTTAATTCTTCATTATCCTTTGAACATTTGATTATTTTACTCGATTTTTGAGTAAAATAGTATGTTTCCAGAAATACAATATAGAAACAGAAGCTCTATTTTTTTTTTTTTTCAATTGCTCTGTTTTATCATTCTCTGTTTCATGGTAAGCTCTATTTCCAGAAATGTTTCAAGGAAACGAATATTTCTCCTCCTACTTTTTACTTCTTCTTTTTTTTTTTTTTACTTATATGGTATTTATCTAACGTTCTCTAATTGCACGGACTTAATTATAACTTGGTAAATTGTGCAAAGTTAAATAAATAAATAAATAAATAATTAGGTAATAATCATGGGACCTATTTTGAAATCCATGATAAAATTATAAGAATAAAAACTTAGCTTCGTTCATACCAAAATGGAGGATGAAATACTGAAAGCAAAGTTAAATGCACAAAGTTATTCTGTAAATTAAAGAAAGTAAAATAGTGTGGTAGAAGGATGATATATATACCTTTCTTCAATTTCTGAAAAGTCCATAGCTAGATTCCATCACACACACACACACATTGCAAAGTTGAAGAGTCATAGTTTTATCTTTCTGCCACAATTCAAATTTCAGAGACAAGCGAAGTACCAAACTCATCATTTCCCATCACTAAAGCTCCTGCTTTTGTAAACCAGTCTTTGTGTTTCATATTGGTCTTTGAATCCTTCTTGTGTTTCCAATCTTTCCTTTCATTTGTCTGTCTATTAATTAATAGCGTTGTTCTGTTGTTCTTCTAATTCAAAATAAAATAAAATGGAAAAGAAAAGACAAAGGAAAAATTCTTCTTCTTCCTCTTCTTCAAACCAGTTTGTGTGTTTACTATTTTCTTCTTGTGTTTCTTCTTGTGTCTTTTTCCACATATTCTTCCTCTGATTTTTCATTTCTCTTTCTATTAAAAGAGTTTTTAATTTGTTTTTTTTCCTTCTTTTGCAAAGAACAAATTTTAACCTCTATTAAATTATTGTTTTTCTACCCTCAAAACTACTGATTATTGTTATCATTATTCTTCTCCTTCTTGTTCAGAGAAAACAAAAAATACAAATAAAAAAAATTGTGTTCAAAACTTCCAGTATTACTTTGTATGTTTTTTGTCTTTATATTTAAATTTCTCATTTGATTTTTTTCTCTCTACCATCGTTGTTCTCACAGTTCCTTTTCTTACCCCAAAAAAAAAAAAAACAGGAAAGGCAAAACAAAAAAGGCTTTTATATGGAAGGCATTGCAGATTAAACGCATAGAATTCTCTGAGAGGTAAGAATTTGTGCCCCATGATGCTTATGAACTAAGTTTGCATCTTCTTTTTGTACACTCGCACATGTACGTATGCATGTATGTAATAAATATACTCCTCCGGTCCTTAATGTAAGACCCATTTAACTAATTTGATTAGATTAAGAAAGTTAGGTAAATTAGTTAATTATAAGAAAAGTGACACATTTTTCCTAAAACACTATGATCATCTTTCTTAATACCCCCTCTCCCTCTTCTACTTGATTATAGTTGAGGGAGTATTCACAGGGGTAATTTAAAGAAAGTTAATAAATATGAGAAATGGGTCTTATATTTAGGACCAAAGCCAACTCAAAAATTGGGTCCTATATTAAGGACCGGATATATATATTTATATCTATGTGTGTATGTATGCGTCTATATATATTGTCTCTTTAACGTTCTACAACTCCTTTTTATTTCTTAGATCTTGGTTGGCTGGTTACACGGAGCACAGTTGAAAATTTCATTCATGTTTCCAGGTTAGTATATGCATAATTTTCATATTAAGAATCATTTGAAACATATTCTTGTTATTGATTTTTCCGTCATAAACAACACAACCGTTTTAAGCTGAGTCTCGCTGTGCTTACATGTTTTATTGTGAGGATTACAAATATATATATATATATATATATAAAGCATTAATTAGTAACATACTTATCTGGTCCTATTTATAGGACAAAGAGAGAGAAAAAATTTTGTTCTATTTATAGGACACTGAGAGAATTTTTTTTTTTGAATGGATGTACAATTTCACCTTTTATTTATTATTATGTTTACTTTATTTACATGATGTATAATGTATATTAACTATGAATGAAGTTGAAAAGTTGTTGGAGTTTAAATGAGAGTTAATGAAGTTTAACGTTTTTTTTTTGTTTGTGTGAAACATGTTGGAAATTATTTATAAATAGGACCAGAGAATTATTGTATTTGGGCTTTGACCTTCTAGATATTTTTATATTAAATCTCCTAAATCTTGGTTGGCTGCATAAAGCTTACTTGAAGATTTAAAATTTGGGTTGTCATTCTGGCCCCCAAAAGAAACCCTGAAAGAAAAGAAAAGAAAAGGAATAAAGAGAAGAAAATCATGAGATACCTATAGAACTTTTAGCCAAAATTACTCCTTCGGTCCTAAATGTAAGATCCTTATACTAGTGTATATAAGGGTCTTATATTTAGGACCAGAAGAGTACTATATGTCCCGGCCTTTGCGGAAAAGCTAGTAGACATTCTGCTGCGAGAAGTCATTTCACTCTAATTAAAAATGAGCTCATAGATTTTTGTTTATTTTTAAACGCTGAGAATGAATGCATCAAAATATATGACTTGGTTTGGGAAGTGGCTTTGTTGATTGGGGAGATAACTTTTCAACAGGGCATAGGTTATAACTTAATAACCTTAAGGGAGTACATCAGATGTAAACCTTAGAACATAACTAACTTTTCACATTATTTTTGTGATAAAAAACTTGAGGTTCTTTAAGTTTGGATAAATAATGCAACCTCAGAAACCAATAGATACTATCTTTGAAGGGATCAAGAGCCTGAAAAATTTGGCTATAGTATGCTCATTAGATATTCTAATTTCAGCAGCATTCTTATTTCAATTTCCACTGTCACTAATAAATGCTTGAACTTTAGCTTTTAAAGGACTTGAGTAAAGAGATATATCTTCGACCTGACGTGGCTATCTTCTCCAAGTTGGTTGAACTGGAGCTCTTTTCCATGGATGGTAGGGAACTATGCCATGGTTCTTATCCTGGTGATTTTTTTAAGCAACAAAAGGAGCTGCAGTTATCCAAATATGAAAAACTGGAAAGCACGTTATTTGATGGCAAGATGGAGCTTTATAATCTTAAGCGCATAGATTTATGTGGATGTTCAATGACAAGCCTTTTTCATCCCTCCACAGCACAAAGTCTAAAGCAATTAGAAGCATTGCAAATTAGAAGCTGTTTTGAGTTGAAATACATCGTAGCAGAGACCATGGATGATCATAATCCTAATCACAAGAATCATGACTCAATGTTCCCCAAATTGAAAGATCTCTTACTCACAGTTTGTCCTGAATTAGAATTTGTAATGCCAATACGTTTTTGTAAAGACCTTCCGCTATTGGAACGTATGCATATTTATTATTGTCGGAAGCTAAAATACATATTTGGGCAACAATATCCGAAGGAGACAGATTTAAATTTGGACCAAAAGGGAAAAGGAAACATCCTTCAATTGCTAGAAGAAGTGTGCATTTGGGGAGCACCAAATTTCATCAACATATATGCAGAATATGAAGTACAAAAGTCTTCTCCAATTACAAAAGTGGAAGTTGGCACTAGCAGCTTATCAAAGAATCTTTTGCATTGTTTTTGGCCAAAATCAAATGCCTCTACCAAACATCATCTTTCTGCTTCCATGACCACCCAACTGAATCATAAACAGGTAATATATGATGCAAATTACTCGCAAGTTATTTTTTTCAATTCATGAAAGAAGAACTCACATGTTTGCATGGAATACAGGCATTAAAGGTGAACTATGTTGTGAATAGAGCTCATGGACTTTTTACACCACCATTATACCCATTCACAAGTTTGAGAAGGATGGAGATATTTGGATTGTGTGGGTTAAAGTCACTGTTTACCCAATCTATTGTCTCATCATCGAAATTGCTGGAATTATTGCAAGTCAAAAATTGCAATACATTAAAGCACATAGTAACAAATGAAGAGCGTGGTCATGATCATGTGAATGTTAACCATATCTTCCCCAACTTACGGGAGCTTTATGCCTCATACTGTAGCCACTTGGAATATATTCTCCCAGCTTTTTATTCGAAAAATAACATGAGCTTTCAAAATCTTTCCATGGTAACAATCCAAGGATGCAAACGACTGAAATTCATCTTCTGTGCATCTTCCTTAAGATGGCTGCAAAAACTGAAAAGGTTAGAGGTATTAGACTGTGAAGAGCTAGCGAGCATTATTGAGGATGAAGAGGATCAGAAAAATCCTATGCCTCCGCCTCAAGTATGTTTCCCAGAGCTATGTGGAATTATAGTGAAGCATTGCGAGAGTTTGAAATGCCTCTTCTCTAAATCAAGTGGTAAGCTTCCACGACTCTTGTATGTGAATATAGAAGATGTGCCTCAGCTTGGGCAAGTATTTGGATGGAAGCAAGAAGAGGGACAAAAGCCAGTCATGGGGGACGTTCTTCCAAAACTAGTTGCAATAAGACTAGTAAAAATGCTAACTCTTCGCGCTATCTGCCAAGAAACTGATTTTCAGAATGTGAAAATACGTCATGTGCGTGAATGTCCTAACATTTCTTCAACTTTAGCTAATGATAGCTATGATGCACGTAAGTATTCACATAGCTAATTCATTAAAACTGCCATAATTGTTTAAATTTGTTCTCATAATAATAGAAGTGTTCTATTTCGACAGTGCGTGGATTTTCAAGGCCATTTCAAATACACTCTCAAGATGAAGAAGAATACTATGCAGAAATTTCAAACTGGGCTTTTGAGGTTAGTATCAAACTTAATAAAATGGCCATCGGCTGAAAGAAGAAAAGCAAGGAGATGATAAACGATTATTTTTACACCAAGAGTAATGCCAAAGTGAAAAGGGTTCTAGTAGTAATGATTTTGCTTTTAGTCTATATGAGTCTGCAGGAGCCTTTGATCTTCTTCCAAAGGGTTAAAGAACATACCAGTGAATGTTCTGCCAAAGAAACATCAAACAAAATGCACTTACGATTCCACCATTTGGTTTCTAATATAGTTGCACTATTGATATGTTATATTACTGGCTTTCATTCAGATTAATTTTTCTATTTCTATGCTCTCAGATCTCTTCTCCCAAAAAGCCTCAAATAGAAACTTCAGCTCCTCACAAGGAAGTCGAAGCCGGGAGCTCGCAATCAGACCCATCACTTGCTTTTGCCATTACTGATCCATCTGCAAAAGTAAGCCTTCATTTGATTGCATAAGTTTTGGGACATAATTTTATTCTTTAAGACTAGAATATACTAATGCCAGAATAGAGCAATTTGATAATCAAACAATACCCATATGTGTATTGAGTATACATTACTTTGCTTGTTCTTCTTCTACACGTCACAGCTAGAACATACAAAATTGGTTTCTTACTGAGGAGGTGAAATTAATGCTTCATTTCATTTGCTTTAGGTTCAAATTATGGTCAATCAAAGAGGGAGCTCTGTTGATAATGATCTTAATAGATTATTACAAATAATGAAGGGTGGCTTTGAGTTGGAAGTTAGCCAGCCTTGCATTTCCAAAATTGCTGCTTTTGAAGATGATAAAGTGGCTAAGGCCTTTGATGATTTAGAATCCTCATTGAAAATGGATCTCAATCAGATAGCTAACTCTAAAGAACATACTCATCGCCTTGAGAATGCACTCAACTTCTTGTCCACCTATTTTTGTAAAGATGGAACTTCCTCTCACAGCCTTATTATTGGCAAAATAGACTCTCTTCGAGAAGAAATCCTAAAATTTATCTCATCCTTCAAGCAAGCTAATGATAAGCTTGACAGATTCACCAAGCTTCCAAAAAAAGAGAAGTGGGTAGATGAAGAATATGCTCAAAAGATGGAGGCAGGTAATACTCTTGTGTCTGAAATCCGCAATACTGAGAATTGTATGATTGAACTGGAGGAACAGGTCTCTAGATTGCAGGCTGAATTGAAAAGCAACAAAGAAAAAGAATTAGAAGACTGTAAAATCAAACTGTCTTCTCTTCAAAAGCAAAAGAAGGAATGTGTTTTGGACATCATAAGGTTCATGGAAGAGTATGAGGTTGTGAAGAGAGACAAGTCCCATGTGGTGGATGGCCAAATAAAAGCAAGCCAAGAATTAAAAGAGTTGGAAAATCAATGGCCTTCTTGTTTGGCTGATTCGAGGAAAACTGCACTTTTGTTGGAAATCCTTCTTCAACAGTAGCTCTGATTGTTAGGCATTATTAATTCAATAGCCCAAAAATAGCATTAAAAATATAAATTTCTAGAGGGTAGCCAAATAATTTTTCAATGTATTGATCAGGTTGTCATATATGTTCTGGTGTGGTTTGCTATCATTATGGGTGATTTTCGCTTGGTTCAAAGTATGGGTCAGGTTAGAAATTCATGAAGACTCGTTTTTGTGTACCCTGATTTTGTTCAAAGTGAAACTAGAATTTGGACCTGGTTAATGACCATATTTTTGTGCATTAAATGATTCAGAGCATAGGAGGCTAACTCTGTATGATATCTTGTGCACATAAAGGAAAAAAAATGCAACTATGAAAAGTATGCAAAAGAGATGACTTTGAATGGAGAAAGAAAGTTTGGATATTAATATTTTCATTATTTACATTGATAAAAATCCTTGAGCAGAATTAATGGGAGATCAAACCATTAAGCAATGATCATTTGATAAGGGAAGCATCATACTCAAAATCGAATCATTAATTCATTATCCTCCGTTGGGTGGACATGCATAGGTATTGGCTTTTTAATTTCAATCTATCATAATCTTCAACGCCATGGGATTTGTGGTCTCATATAATGCTTAGTTTTCTTTCACACAAAATAGAGTAAATTGTTGAGCTTTATAAAAAGGGTTAATACAAATTCAAGTCCTCAAGTTTCAAATCTCAAATTTCTTTTCATTTAAAATATTGGTCCCTAAAATCTAATAAAAACTTAACAATTTACCCCTTGAGGGACTAAAATCTATAGTTTGAAACTTGAAGAACCAAAATCAAAATGAGGACAAATTTAAGGGACCAAAGATTATATTAATCCTTATAAAAAAAGAAAACATATGTTTGTGTGGCTGCATACCGCTACTCATGATTGCTCTCAACAGTTCATTATCATACACACACATATTCAAGAACAGAATAGGCAGTTTTTGCGATTTTAGCCTAAATAACTCCTAAATTTACAAGAGGTTCTCTGCCACCAATAGATTCTGTTCTGTTTCTGTCAATTTCGACCCTGAAGTCTTGAACCATTTCGCATCCACAAAACTCAAACGCTTCCCTTGTTGTTGCATATTGACTTTAATTTTGAGGAAGCTATTATTCTGTCAAGTTTACTTCTTGATTTGGAGCCAAGTGTCCTCTGCCACCAAGAGAACTAAACCATTCAAGCTTGGCAAAGAAATTTAGGCTTTGGGAGACTTACTAGTTACATTTAGCTTTGTTAAAAATCATAACAAATGAGTAACAGAAAGAAATATTCGTGATATAGCTCTCACGATATTACTTTCACAATCTAACTATATATTTAAGGCTGTGTGCTACACTTTTAAATATCAATGGACAGCTTCGAGTATCATCAGCTAGCGTAAATCTAACAGCAATGTATGATTGTGCAGTTACATTTTGATTAAGAGTCTTATTAAAGAGAAGAAAGTTAAATATATAAAGCCATTGAATAAAAATGAGGTTGCCTAAAATGTTGTATCAGTCTGCAATGAATTTGAAATTTTGGTCAAAGAAACAAAAGAAAAGAGGAAGTTAACTTGATTTTTTTTTTTACTGTTAAGTTGAAATCCTCTGGAATTCTAACCTTACGTATCACTGTACTTTGATCATGTAGGATAACTTTGAAAGCTCTTCCCCTTTGTCCCCTTCAATTTCCTCATCTTAAAAACAAGAAAATCAAAACATCATGTTACCAATAGAAACTATGATCTCATTTGAGGATGCTGAGTTCCAGGGGAGGCAAATATCAAGTGTTTGAATAATACTAATAATATTTTGCCAAAGACCCTTGGATCTAGTGCCTCACCGTATCAAACTTGTACTGTGTCTGAGTGTGTTTGTACGTTAATATAACGTGTGTTTCATTTGAATTTTTGACCCCTATAAAAATAAAATACTAATAATATTTTTGTATTTCTCAGCCTACTCGGTTTGATCCGGATCCGGCTTCTCTCCTTTACCTTTTTCCATCCGCTGCCCTCCTCTGCCTCAAACTAGACCGTCTTGGTGTAGAAATGGCGGGCGGCACCTCTTTTTTTTTTTTAAATAAATATCTAACACCTAAAAATATTTTTCTAATACTACTTATTATCTTGAAATATTTTTTCAGTACTATCTATTCTAATATAATTTTTGGTCCAATAAAAACCCTAAAATATATTTTTGTAACATCCAGTATCTGACTTCCAACACACTGAAGTATTTTCAGTAGCACTTAGTATCCTAAAATATTTTTTCAGTACCACCCAATATTTTAAAATAACTTTTGACCTAGTCAGAGCCCTAAAATATTTTTTTTTGTGACACCCAATATCTAACTCCAACATACTGAAGTATTTTTTTTAGTAGCACCCAATGTTTTAAATTAATTTTTAGTACATCCAGTATGCTAAAATATTTTTTAAGTGCACTTAATTTCTTGAAATAATTTTTGTTGGAATATTTTAGGTATTGAATGGACTAAAAATTAGTTCTAAATACTTGGTGCTACTGAGAAAATATTTTAATGTGTTAGAAGCTAGATATTGGGTGTTAAAAAAAATATTTTAGGGCTCTGACTAGACCAAAAATTATTTTAGTATACTGGGTGGCAATAGAAAACACTTCAATTTGCTGGAAGCTAGATACTGGGTGTTACAAAAAAAATATTTTAGGACTCTGATTGGACCAAAAATTATATTAGAATAGAAAGTACTGAAAATTATTTCAACATAATAAGTGGTACAAGAAAAATACTTCAAAGTGCTAGATACTTATTTTAATAAAAAAAAAAAGTGCCACCCCACCATTTCTACACCAAAACAGTGTAGTTTGAGGCAGAGCAGGGTAGCGGATGGGAAGGGATAAAAGGGAGAAGCCGGGTGCGTTTGATCCTACTTGTAACTTCTGGCTATTTGTGCCTGTCCTATTAATTCTAAGTCCATAAATTATGAGAACATTTAATGAGGGAGCAATATTCAAAAACTGATATAGCAATCCATGTCTGAAAACATATAATAGTCCTCTACAATTTAGACCAGAGTTACAATTGGAATTATGAGAAATAACAGAGTTCGTGGGGAAAGAATAAGATTAGAATCATGGGTCCAATCCAATAAGATTAAGGAGAACATTATAAACATTTTTGGAAAGAATACACTAATATTTATTGGAATAATTACGTTACTCTTTAACATTGTACATGATATTGGCTCCAGTGAGCCTTGTCTCATGGATACATAGTTTAAACTCATGAGTGGCTTTTTTATTCCCTATTGAAAGCATTATTTCTCTATTACCAAAAAAAAAGAGACATTATTTCTACTTTAAGAACTAATTTAAGAATCTTCCTAGACGAGTTTCTTGATCTTCATTATAGAAACGTTTTCAATTTTTTTTTCAAGCATTTCTTTTCATAAATATCTTGTGTTGGTTCCCCTTCATACTGAGTGCCTATTTGATTAAACGGTAAGAATTCAAATAAGTCCATTTGAATCTAAATAAGTGATCATAAAACATGTTTATCCTGTTTGACTAATTTTTCTGAAATCCTGATAAATCGTGATTTCACTCTTCCACCACACTTTTAGAATAAGTACCAAGGAGTAGCTTATGCGTTTGAAGAATCTCAATCAATTTTTATCACCTGAATTTTTTCCAATATATCATCCTATACTCTTCTGAAAATCCCTCCCTAAGTGATTATATTTAATAATATTTATTAAATTTATGCCTTTTTGGTAATTATACATCTATAAGTAATTTTAATAAATGAAAATTAAACATAATCACAATCCTCCCTTAAAGTTACTTTTAAAAAAAAATCCAAACAAAAATTAACAGGTCACTTATAAAATTCATGATAATATAAAATCATAGGTGTTTACTGCTAATCCAAAAGAGCACCGAACCTCTTTTGCTCACAATCGCTTCACTCCGACTATATGCTGTGCCTGATGACTTCTCATGTTAATTCTTCATTATCCTTCGAACCTTTGATTATTTTATTCGATTTTTCAGTAAATGGTATGTTTTCAGAAACATAGTATAAGAAACAGAAATACTCGATTTTTACTCACTTGCTCTGTTTCATCATTCTCTTCAGTATAATCGCAACAATGAAAAGTATGCGAAAGAGATGACTTTGAATGAAGAAAGAAAGTATAGATATTAATATTTTCATTATTTATATTGACAAAAATCTTAAAGCAGAAGCAAAAGGGAGATCAAATAATTAAATTCGCAATGAGCATTAGTAAAAGAAGCATCATATTCAAAATAGAATGTCTATCCACAATGGGATGTATGTGCAAAGAGGTATTGGCTTTTTAATTTCAATCTATCATAATCTTCAGCCCAGAGGATTTAGCTGTGCTTGTAGTTTTCATGGGATTTGTGGTATCATATAGCTCTTAGTTTTCTTTCACACGGAGGGAGTAAAATATTGAACTTTATCAAAACATAAGCTTTTCCAGACTCTGCCACCAGTGGATTCTGTTCTGTCTCTGTCAATTTCAGCTCTGAAATCTGAACTATTTCGCATCCAGAAAACTCAAATGCTTCCCTTGCAGCTTCACGATTCTGGCAAGATGATTAGAGTCCTTGTTGTTGATCAATGGTTTTCCTCCTGAGGAAGTTATTCTGTGAAGTTTACTTCTGCCACCAAGAGGAATAAACTATACACAAGCTTGGCAGAGAAATTTAGTTATTGAGAGACTGGGATGTTTGGAAGCACCCAAAAGTGAAGCACTTTTCTGTAAAGCGAGATAAAACTCCTCCACATATTTACCTGGTATATCATAAAAGCACTTTTAAAACTATGGTTTGATTTCCATTCAAACATAGTTGCATTTAACTTTGTAATAAAATAATAAAAAAATGAATAAAGGAAACCAATATTCGTGACACAGCTTTCACAATTTGTACTTTAAACCACCTAAACCTTGACTAAAGGGGTGTCTAGGGTGTGTTTGGATTAGCAGTGATAGAAGTA